CCGGGAAGTAGTCTCGGCTGGCCTCAGCAGGCCCCTCGAAAAAGTAGTTTGAAGGGGTCTCAACACCCTGGCGCCGCCTCTGGCGACGCACCTGGGGCGCCCAGGGCCCCAGTGTTAGGGTGTTGAGACCACCCGAAGGCTACTCGCGGAGCCTTTTGGGGCAAGCTGCTACTCGGAGGGGCTGTTGAGAACACAGCCGGGACTGCACGTGGGGGGGCTGTGCGCAGCCCGAAGCCTCAGCCCCCCAGGAGCTTCGGACTCCCAGGCGCCCCCTGGCGCTCCCAGACGCTCCGGGAGCGCTCCAGCGCTCCCAAGCAGCCCCGTGCGCACCTCAGGCGGCCTCGGGAACCCCCGGACGCTCCGCAGGCGCTCCTGGGCGCTGCCAGACGCTCCCGAAGCGCACTTCAGCGCCCCCAGGCGCCCCCAGCCGGTCCCCAAGCGTCCCAGACGCTGCAGGAAGCTCCAGGAAGCACCAGGAAGCGCAAGAGTCCCCAGGAAGCCTCAGGAGGCCCTAGGAGGCCCCAGAGGAGGATCCAGAAAAGCGTAGGGGAGCCACAGGAGCCGCCAGGAGCCGCCGAAAGCCCCAAGGAAGACCCAGCCGACGCGGCCTGACGAACCCCGAGACGGCAAGTCAAATTCTTTTCTAGCAGACCCCATCCACCCTCTCCTCGCGCGGTAGTTGCGTACCATGCGTTACGGGAATGCTGGAGCTTCGAGCGGCCCTCGGCCATCCTGCCGTCGCTCGGACGTCCACTCCCCGTGCATGTTTTGGCTCCGTTGGGTTTTTTTTCCTCTCGCAAGCTTACCCAGGAGGCTACTCGATCCCTCGGTGGCCCCCCGACGAGAAAACATGCACGCGTCCGAGCGGCGAGGGACAGCACGGGAGCCTAGAGGCCCCGGGGCGCAACTGCAGCGATCGCGCCACCACGACAGGGAGCGCCCGACGGAAGCATCGGAAAGGGGCCCTCCTGGCCCCGGCGAGCCTCGGCCACAGGCTCCCCGGCCGGGACCTGCAGTCCACCCGTGCAGGGCAGTTTTTAATACATAGGATTTGTTAACATATCGGATTTTAATGCATGATGAATGTATGAGTAAATTTATGCAGGAACTCATCGTTGTTTTTAATACCAAATCCCTGAGGCCCCAGGACGTCCATTGATTCTTGGCACGGGAGCACCACGCTTCCCATAGCAAAACCATCGAGTCCCAAGAAACCCAGGGCACCATGGAGGCCAGCAGGGTCTCTTGGCATGGGTCTCCTCTGTATTGTCAGGGCGCGCGCGAAGGATGTAAGGGCCTTGGAAGGCCATGTCGACTCTTTGTGAGCGGGGTGCCGCCAGCGAAATCGGCCATTGGAAAGTCGCTCATCCTCAAACTTGGTTGCTATGCGGGTCGACGGTCTGGAAGGAGCGGCCCGGAAAGCACAGCCCCTCCTGAGCCCAGAGTGGCCCTCGTTCCAGCGTCCTGACTGCCCAGACATCCGACGACAAGAGTTGTCCACAGCGCGGACGAAGTCCCGGCACGCACACACACACACACACACACACACACACACACACACACACACACACACACACACGCCCGGGCCAATTTTCACCCTGGGCAGCTCAAGAGGCCGAACAATGGCGCAACACCTCCCGTCTCGCTGCTGCTGCCGACGCCGAGGGGGCCCGGGGAATGCATCCTTGTCTCGTGTTGCATGCTTGGGTGGTCTTGTCCGTCCCGTTGCGCTCCCCTCCGCGTCGGGTCCGCGTGGAACCCAGGCCGGACTCGTCGAATCCGCGCCAAACCCGCGTCGGGTTCCGCGTCAAATCCGCGCCAAGTCCGAGTCCACATCGAGCCAGCGTCTGGCACCAGAAACGACACCAATCCCACCATCTCTCCAGGCGTAGGTGGCTCAACGCACTTCTGTCGTCTCTCTGCTGAAATCCCTCCTTCCCCTGCTCAGGGGAGGGGGCCGAGAAAGGGGGGGGCGGCGAGATATCACAGGGTGCTTTGGGTCCGAGGTGGCTCCGAGAGGGCCTCCGCGAAGACGGGGCCCCCCAAAGAAACGACGCAGACTGTCATCGCCCCCCCCGCTGCTCCCCCGCACGCGGGAGTGCCTGCCTGCCCCGAGGGCGGGGGCAGGCGGGCGGCAGGGGCTCCTCCCCGCCGAGCCCCGACCAGGCCGTGAGGCACCGGTGGACGGCGGCGTTGAAGTCCAGGTGGAGGTGGTCGACCTGCTGACGCACGCGGGGGGAGGGTTGGCGGCGCGCACCAGGGGGGTGGGGGGAGGGGGGAGGGCCTCTTAGAAGCAGGGATGCCTCTTAGAAGGCGCCGGCCCTACATCCATAGATAAGGCCCGCGCCTTCTAAGAAGCGGGGATGCTTCCAAGAAGCCCTCCCCCCACTCCCCCACCCCCCTCTGCTGCGCGTGGCTGGGAGGGGGCCGCCTCGGGGGGGGGGGCCAATGACCAGCGGCTCGGGGAACGGAACGGAACGGAAGCCGGCGCACGGCTCCGCGAGGGAGCTGCCGGCAGGGCCGAGGCCCGCTCACAGTTTGATATGAGCGCCCCTCGGGTGGCAGGCGTGGAGGTCTGCGCCCGAAGACGGGCAAGGCCCCTGGGCGCTGAGCCTCTCCCGCCTGCGGGGGCGGAGTGGCAGAGGGCTGATAGCCTGGTCCGCGCGCCTCGCTCCTCCTCCCTCGAGGCCCTCCCGGGCGTGCGCGTGCCGAGGGCGGCGTGAGCGTGGATCGGCCTCTCGATTCGGTCGGCCAGTCTACGTGGCGTGAAAACGACCACAGCCACTGCTTTTCTTTTGAGGATAAATTCACACGAGGATCCACCGACCCCCGCTTGTCGTGGGCGAAAAGGTGTGTGAAACATTTGCCTGTCCCCCTCCCCATGTTCCTCTCCTGCAGGACCGAAAATCCAATTGAAGGAGGACGGGTCTTCAACATCGCCAGTGCGCACCCAAGGCCTCAGGAACCTCGAATTCTCCACCCCGTGGCCTCCAAGATGCCCAAGATGCCATCTACGCTGGTTCACGCTGCGTTCGAAGACGCCGAGGAGTGCCCAAGAAGCCTCCCAGACGCCCCAAGACGGCTCGAAGAAGCAAAAATCGTCGGTTCCCCTTGAGACAACGTGGAATGTTCAATAGATTCGCCTCTTTCGTCTAGACAATTTGCAAGACGGCTCAAAGAAGCGTCCAAAACTGCTCCAATACTGCCCAGGAGACCCCTGATAAAGCCCCAACGCGGCCCAAAAGGGCTACATGCTGGCCCAAAAGGGCCCCAACCGGGCCGCAAGAAAAGCCAAAGGTGGGCAACTGAAGCTAACGTTGCTAGCCTTCAGCCCCAAGAGAGCCCCCGAACCCACCAGCAGAAGCCCAAGAACCCTCCATGAGGCCCCAGGAAGCCCTCAAGAAGCCCAGACGAGGCTCCCCGAAGCCCCCAAACAATCCCCAAAAGGTCCCCAACGGTGTCCAAAAGGCCCCGGAAGACCTCGCCCGTGGACGTGTTGTCCTTTTTTGCGGGTCCCGCGCCAGCTCTCCGGCAACGCGCCTCTGGGGCCTCCAGAGCCTTTGCTCGGGGCCAGCGAAAATGATGGCGTAAGCCCCTTGGGTAAGTCAAGAATCAGATCCGGCGGCTCAGGAGGATGTATCGGGCGCCGCGGCCTTCTCAGAGCGTCCCCGAACGCTCTGAGAGCGTCATGGAACGCTCTGGAGCGGATTCGTCCTCGTCCGAACCACGTCCGACCAGGGCTGCAGGCGCTGAAGAGTGAAGAGCAAGGTGAGACAGCACATCAGAAAGACGGACCACGGGGCTGCGAGTGCGGGAGCATTCCGTTGTCCGTCACGTTGCGGTGAACGTCAGGCCTGCCTTGCTGCAGAGGGCCTGCCACAGCTGGATGCGAGGCCACGGTCGGGGTGACAGCACGACCCTGCTGCCCCTGCGCCTGGCAAACTCCTCGGGATGGGCGCCGCGACCCGCGCTCGGAGCGCCGCCCATCTGCTTTCCTTCTGATCGGGCGACACGCTGCCCAGGGAACGGAGCAGCACGTCTCGCACATGGCAAACGCGCCCACGGGCCCGAAGAAGATCGTCACCATTGCCAACGCTTCTCTGAATCCTGACGGAATCGGGTTCTGCACCCTGGTACCCTCCCCAGGACGAAGTCTTCCTCCCGAGCCGTTTGCTGACGGCCCCGCGGCCCGTGGAGCGCCCCGAACAAGCCCGCAAACGGCGACGAATCCCCGGGACCCGACCCGGCGGAGCGGCTCGTGGCGAGGCGCGGCCGGTGGGCCGCGGTCTCGTGCCGCGCGGGGGAAGGCGAGGAAGAGGGAGGAGAGGGCAAGGAGGAGAGGGGGGACGGCGAGGAAGAAAAGGAGGAGGAGGAGGAGGAGGAGGAGGAAGAAGAGCAAGGGGGGAGGCAGCGGCGAGAGGAGGGAAGGGTCCAGCTCCACGCAGCGACCTGGGCGGGACTTGCCAGCTCACAGGTTGAGCGTGTCCAGCTCCGCGGCGCGAGCTTTCGGGTGGTTCCTGCAGCTGTAGCCCGTGCTCGAGATCTTGGCACGACAAGGAGGAGGAGGAAGCTGCGGAGACGATACGACAGCGTCAGTCGGCCCCCAGAGGGCGCCCTTTGACAAAAAGGCGCGTTGGGACTGGAAAGCGTCGTGACGCCGGCCCACTCGTGGCCACCTGACTCGAGGTGGTGCGTGCCAGGAGGAGGAGGAGGCGCACTTCCCAGGCAGAGGGGCGGGGAAGCCGGTGGGGCAGCGCGGCGGGGCGAGCGCGGCCTCTATCGGCTTGCCGCCAGCGCACGGCCTCGTCAGGCCTGGCACCTGGCAGGCCCCGTCCCACCCCCCCCGTCTCCGCCGCGCGCGCCGTCGAAGGCGCCAGCACTGTTGCCAGCGCTGCTGCTTCTGCCGCTGGTCCTCGCCAGCGTCTTCGCTATCCCTTGCTCCCTCTCGTCCTTCCTCCTGGCCTCCATCCTCTTGCTCCTCTTGCATCCTCCATCCCCCGCTAGATACCTCATCATTCCTGTCTCCGCCCCCCTCCCCACCTCCTCATCCTCCGCCTCCTCCTCGACGACGATGATAATCGAGGTCTTGAAGCGGAGGTGCCTGGATGTGAAGATAGGGGGGTGGATGGATGAATGGGGGGATGGGGGAATGGGGGAACGGGGAGGGGGCTGGGATGGGTTAGAGTGATACTGCACTATCCCACCCCCGTCCCCCGCAGCCCACCCCAACCTATCCTCATGCTCCCCCTCTCAATTCCTCCGCATGGCCCCTCCTCTCACAACCCCCCCTCCTCCCCTTCCTCCCCCTCCTCCTCCTCCTCCTCCTCCTCCTCCTCCTCCTCCTCCTCCTCGTCCTCCTCACTGAACAAATGTTTTTGTTCGACTTGCCAAAGGGGCGAATGAAGGAAGGCGCGACAAGTGAAAAGTAGAACATGGAAAATGCGGAGGAAGCTGACAAGAAAAAGAGCAAGCGGAAATACGTTGCGCGTTACATGCCGGACGCGCGTCGACGAAATGTGGAACAATATTTAGAAGTAGAAGCGTAGTATCGCAGTTTCGGGCCTCCTACTCGCTCGAAATGAAAGGAGGGAATTCCTATCGGCTGACCTTCCTGGTCCCTGTCACACGGCTCCTCCTCCTCCTGATCTGCATCGCCCCCCTCGCCCTCTCCCCCGGCGCCGTTCCCAGCGCACCAGGGCTTTCTTTTCCCTCCTCCTCTTCATCATATGCTTCTCCCCCTCGCCCTTTTCCCACTCTCCTCCTAATCCTTCACTCTCCCTTTTCCCCAGCCTTCACTCCTAGCCCACTCATCTGTTTCTTCCCCCCGCCCTTTTCCCCAGCCTCGCCACTCGCTCTTCATCCTTCCTGATCTATTACGTCCTTTTCCAACTCTCCTCCTCCATCCCTCCCTCTCCAGCTTGGCCCCCGCGGGCGGCGTGGCCTCGAGGATGAAGGGGCGAGACGAGGGCGAGGAGGAAAGGAGAAGGTCGAGAAGATGAGGAAACAAGACAAAAAGGGTCGAATAAATTGAAGGGGCCCTGGTACACACAGATAAATACACACAAATGAAAGGATTCCCCATATTAAATAAAAGGATTCCCATATTTTCGTATATGTTCTGGGTTTTCGTCTTCCGCCCCACTTCCCATAGTTTCCCATATTCCCTGGGGAATCGACGATTAATTGTGTCTGTGTGTTTTTTCTCCTCCTGATAAATGGAAAAGAGGCACGGGGCCTCACTGTTGCTCCGATAACTGAAACCAACAAAAAAAAACAAAGAAAGGCCAAGCATGCTCCCGATCTGCTTCCCGGTCCCCCTCCCCCGCACCAACACTGGGAACCCTGAGAAAACCGTGAAAAGCAACATGTTTGGCTCCGTCGGGTGCGGCTATCGACGAACGTGCCATTTTGTTTGTGGAGCGTAATCCATGGCCGCCCCGCGAGAGCCCCCAAGGCCCATGATGCGAGCGCATTCGAATTGAGTATTCGCACAATGGGCGCGCATCGCGGGGCCGGTTCTCGGAAGGGGGGACCGATTGCCGCGGGGGAACCCGGGCCGCAGGGCGAGCGGGGGAAGGAGGCAGGAGGAAGTTCTCTTGACTGCAATAGATCGGGCTTTCGTTTTTGAAAGTCTCCCCCCCCAAAAAAGAAAACGGGTGAGGGCACACCCCGCCTGCATCTCGAGGACGGTTCCGCTGGGTGCCTGCGCGCGCAAAGTGGCCAAAGAAACCCAGCCGACGAACAGCAAGAAAGCCTTGTAAGCCTTCAAAATTTCGCAGTGCCCACTGAATCGGACACGGCATGCGCAGAGTTCCCGCGTCGGGGCGAGCGCTCCCCCCCAATGACAACAGGGACAGACTAGGTGCTGAAACTCGCGCGAAGCATGCTTAAATCACCGCGCTCGAAGCGATCCGAAATCGGGCTGGATTGAAGCTCGCGCTGGCTGCGCCAGAACAGACTGGCGCGCTTTCGACGCTCTGGCGCGGCGACAACCGAGTTACTCACGCATGCGGGAGGGCTGACCCTTCCTCATTTACCCCCCAACAAAAAAAACATGCCAGGGCCCAGGGGCCCCAGCTACGGCTCAGCCGTTCCGATTCCAAGAAATTCTAGACGCTTCGCGTAACCCCACCAGCCCCTCTCGGCGACTGCTTCACGCGTCCGCCCGCGACCAAAAGTAACCCCACCAGCTTCTTCTTCGCTCGTGTCGCCTTCTCCTGCTTCGCCTCGGTTTCGCCGCTCTTGCGCTGCCTCTGCGTAGTAGCCTTGCACATTTTTCCCGCGTCTGGCCGGCGACAGTTGCGCTGTGACCACCGGTCTCCGCTCGTAGCACGACCTTTCCGACGCCGCGCGGGTGCCCGCTCGCGGTCGCGATCAAAAAAGTAACACAGGCCTCCTTCTTTCTTTCTTGTCCTCTCTGTGCGCTAATTCAGGCCGCCGCTTGCTCGTTGCGCCCTCGACGCCGCCCGAAACTCGACGCGGTCGCCATCAAACATAGTAACCCCACCAGCCCATCCAGAAACGATGCCCACAAAAACTGCATCGATCAAGGAAGTGGGCGACACGCAGAGGAAGGGTCCGTCAGTGGAGGCCTCTTGGAGCGTCTTGGGGGCCTTTTGGCGGCCCCAAACGCCTCTTAGAGCGTCTTGGGTGCCTCGGAGAGTTTTTGGGGGCCTCTTGGGGGGTCTCTTGGGAGCCTCTTGGGGGCCTCTTGGGCGCCAGTTGAGGCCTCCGGGGGCCTCCTGGGCGCCTCTTAGGGCCCTCTTGAAGCGGGCCATCTTGGAGCCATCTTGAGGCCTCGGGTGGCCATCGGAAGCGAAAAGGCGAGAAAACCAAAACATTGATTTCCCCTAGGTTTTGCAAGGATGTTGGCCTCTTCGGGGCCTCCTGGGAGAGCTCTCTGGCCACTTGGAGCCGTCTTATAGCGGTCTTGGGGCCTCGTGGAGCATCGTGGGGGCCATCTTGAGGCATCCTGGGATATCTGGAGCCATCTTGGAAGTCAATTTGGGTTCTCCCAAGCGCTGCTAGAGTCTTCTTAAACAGTGCCCCCCGCCCAGGAGGCCAAAATGTGGCAAAAACCTTAGTCAAATCAATGAGTGTGGCATGGTCGCCGAAGCCTCTTGGAGCGTCTCGGGTGCATCTGGGGGGCCTCTTGGGGGTCTCTTGGGAGCCTCTCGGGGGCATCCTGAGGGCCTCTTGGGGCCCTCTTGGGGCACCCTTGGGAGCCTTGGGAGCGCTCTTGGGGCCACCCCGGAGGAGATCGATCATAGAAGGGGGGTCCCTCAATTAGCGCCTCCCCCCCCAGAGGCCAAAATGGTGCCAAAACCAAAAGTAAAACTAATGAGTTTGGTTTCCTCGCCGGGGTCGCTTTGGACGCTCCGACGACTCGCCGAACGCCCCGTCCAGGTCAAGGGAGGGGGTGGGGGAAGGGATCAAGACTCCATTCCCGCCCAAAGCCGTCTCGCTCACTCCCACTCGCCCCCCGCACATAAGTAGCACCCGAGCCTGGCCCGAGCCTCAGCATATTCAGCAGTCGTCTTTGGATGGGCAGCTACTGGGGGCGCATCCGCCGCCGCCGCCGCCTCCGCCGCCGCTCCCGCCGCCCGCTGCCGCCGCCGCCGCCGCCGCCGCCGCCGCTGCCCGCCGCCGCCGCCGCCGCGCCGCCCGCCGCAGCCGCCGCCGCCGCCGCCCCCGCTGCCGAATCGCCGCCGCCGCAACCGCTGCCGCCGCAGCCGCTGCCGCCACAGCTGCCGCCGCCGCTGGATTGTTTTTTGACAGGGACGGTGGGGGGAGGCCGTATCGGGTTGGCGCCGCATGCTCCGAATCTGGAGGCAGAGTGTTTTGTATCGTTTATTACAAAAGGATGGTGGGGGGGGTGCTCGCGTTGTTCCTGGTTGGCTGCCAGTCGCCTGGGGGAGGGGGTGTATATTAATATAGAACGGTGATAAACCCTTCCCCGAAGCGGAAGAAGGGGGTGGAAGAGGAAACACCCTAAACCACCTACGCCTCAAAGGGCTGGTGGGATTATGCATGGGGGTGCTTTTGTTCAACCGCGGCCTCCTCCTCCTCCACAATTACTCAATATGAATACAATATTCATTGAATACTCCTCTCCCTCTTCCCCTGATGACGGTTTGAAAGTGGCCGACCACCCACCCCCGCGTACGGTTTTTTACACACAGGTTTCCCCGGAGTTGGGTTTTCGCTTGCATTTTTTCAAAATGCCTCTCTCGCTGAGGCGCCGGCCTCATTTTCGGGCCCCGCTCGTTCCGAATCGTGCTCCCGCTGCAGCGCTGGCCTCATTGCCGTGCTTCCGCTCGTTCCGAATCGTGCTCCCGCTGCAGCGCTGGCCTCATTTCCGCGCTTCCGCTCGTTTCGACTCTTGCTCCCGCTGCTGCGCTGGCGTCATTTCCCGTGCAATGCCACGGCATGCAATGCAATGCTAGGTTAATACTACGCTTTGCGGTGCTCTTGTACGCCATGCAGCGCCGTGCTCTACAATGCATCGCGTACCCTTTCGGGATCATTGCCCTGCTCGACATCCGACTGAGCGAGTAGAACTGGGATCTGCGCCATGGTAAGGGATGGGAGGGAGGGGTAGGATGTCAGATATGACGCGAGCGCACCCAGCTTGTCCTCCGCCCCCTCCTCCTCCTCCCCTCCTCCTCCTCCGCCTCCTCCTCCTCCTCCTCCTCCTCCTCCTCCCTCCTCCCCCTCCTCCTCCTCCCCCTCCTCCCCCTCCTCCTCCTCCTCCTCCTCCTCCTCCTCCTCCCTCCTCCTCCCCCTCCTCCTCCTCCTCCCTTTTCTTTCCTTTCCTTTCCTTTCCTTTCCTTTCCTTTCCTTTCCTTTCCTTTCCTTTCCTTTCCTCCTCCTCCTGCTTCGCACCTGCTTCGCCGCCCAGCGGTGGAAGCCCGGGACTCCCATGGGCGGGGCCCGCGCGCGCCGCGCCCGCAGCCGCGCCGCGTCCCCGTGCGGGGCGCTGCCGGGGCCCTGGCGGCGCAACGGGGCGCCCACCATGCGGCGCCCCAGGGCGGGGGTGCTCCCTTTCCTCCTCCTCCTCCTCCTCCTCCTCCTCCTCCTCCTCCACGCGAAATGTTTTTGCATGTTGGGTTTCGACCTGGAGGTCGCTTTTGCTGTCAACGTCGCTTCCAAGGCCAACCCCTCACTTCGCTCGGCCGGAGCGCTTGATCCGTCAAGAACAACAATTACGATCCCCATTCGCGAGAGTCTCTGGTCTCATGTTTTACCGACGTTTCGGCCGCACAGGTTTGCCCTCACCTTACGAGCAGTACCACCTACTCCGTCGCCCTAGAAACACAGATCGCGCTCGCCGCCCCTTAACGAGCTGCATGTTTCGACGTTTGGCCGAAGCTGGGGAAACGGAATGGTTGCATCTCTGAGCCAGTATTTGGTCGACCTGCATGCACCCCAGTCTCGCAAGCACACCGGAGAGGCCCTGACCAATCGGCAAGAGCAGCCAAGATCTGGCCATGCGAGGGGGTGGCGTTGGGCCCGCGCCGATCGGACGCTTGACACCCCAACATGTAGGTCGGGCATGTCCCCAACAGGCGGGCTCTGGCCAGACAGCAAAACATACTCACAGATTGCTCAAGGATGTACGCAGGATAAGCGAAAAATCGTCCCCGGGCTATGTCTCGACGACGTACTATGTTGAATCCTCCTCCTGTAGAGGGGCATGCCCGACCCAACCCCAACGTCCCCGGAGGGGTCGAGGGTCGACGGCGTCTGGGCCTCCCGGGGCCTCCCGCGGGCCGTCCCCGTCGCCGCGCAGGGCGCTCCCCACGAGAGCACGGCCGGAGCGCGCCCCTGGAGGGGGTCGGGGGGTCGACCTTCGACGCGTGCGTCCCCTGCTGGCGGCGCGCACGGGGGCCAGGGGGGAGGGAGGGGGGAAGGGGGGAGGGTGGCAGGGGGGAGGGGGCAGGGGGGAGGGGGAAGGGGGAGGGGCAGGGGGGCGGGGGGAGGGGGGCAGGGAGGAGGGGGGAAGGCCTCTTAGAAGCACCCTGCATCTTAGGAGGTGCGGGCCTGGTCTACAGATGCAAGGCCCGCGCCTGCTGAGGAGCAGCCTTCTTCCGAGAAGCCTTCCCCCCTCCGCCCTACCCCCCTTGTGCGCACCGCCACCGGTCGAGGCCCAAACGACCCCTGGCAAACCAGTCCCTTCCGTGACGTCACCCTCGCCACTCAAGCTTCCCTCCGGCCGCATCCCTACGCCTTGGAGGGCGAGGCGAGCGGGGCGTCACCGAAGGGGCTGGCTTGCCAGGGATCGGTTAGGCCGCCCCTGAATGTATACGCAAAGCCCTGAAATCCCGCCCTCTTCGGCTACGAGTGTATCCCCAGTTAGGGGATCCTTTCTCGTCATGCCAGCTTCTGGGCAACCCCGACGGGGTACGTCAAGCGGGCACTGAAATATCACGAATAATCACCACCAGAACCCGAGACCCAATCTTTCTGTGTAGTCTGTCTAGCCGGATCGATCTATGACGGCCCCGGGCACAAACCTGGGCGAAAAGGTAAACGGGCGAAGCCCAGACTCCTTGACGACGAAACCTGGAATGCAGGACGAAGCGAAACCCAAAATCGACCCAAGCGGAACCTGGAACCGCCAGTGAAACCAGGAATCGCCGGGAGGCGAAATCCAAAACCAATGGAAACACCAAACCAAAACTTCCCGACCCCAGAAACGGAATTCTAAGCCTGTGCTCATCCTCTTCCTCGCACACCTCCACCACCTCATCCTCCGCGTCGTCATCCTCCTCCTCCTCGTCGTCATCGTCCTCCTCCCCCTCCTCTTCCTCCTCCCGCTCGTCCTCCTCCTCCTCCTCCTTCTCCTCCTCTCCCCCCTCCTCCTCTCGCTCGTTCTCCTCCTCGTCCGCGTCGGCCCCCTCCGTCACCCTCCTCTCCAACTTGCCCCCCTCAGGCGGCAACCACACCGCGCCCGGGCGATCAGCCGCGCGGCAGGGAAACTCCCTCCCCATCACCACCACCCCTCTTCGACTGATCCCACGATTTCCTTCATCGTCCCCTTCCTCATCCTCCCCCCATTCCATCACTGCCTCTTCCTCATCCTCCCCCCGTTCCATCACTGGGGGCTTCGGTTCCAGAGAACCGACACGTCCTCCACCCCCTTCCCCTTCACCGCGATTCCATTCTGCCCGACTCCATTCTGCCTCTTGCTCCTCCTCGTTCTTCCCCCCCTTCCCCTTTAGGACGTGCACCCTGAAACTCAGCATCATATGTTTCCTTTCGGCAGTCGCACAACGCATGGCATTGCAATGCGCTGCGCTCCCTCCCCCCCCATCCTCCCCCTCCTCGCTCCTCCCCGTCCTCCCCGTCCTCCTTCCGATCCTCACACCTCCCCTCTCATTCCTCCTCCTCCACCTCATCGCTTGTCCTCTCACCCCACCCTACCATCCTCTCCCTCTCCTCCCTCTTCCCCCCTCCCCATCCCCTCCTCCTGCCTCCTGCCTCCTCTTCCTTCTCCTCCCTCCCCCGTCTCCGCCTCTTTCGTCCTCCCTCCTCCCTCTCCGTCCTCCCTCCTCCCTCCTGCCTCTTCGGGTTGGTCTTGGGGCGGCCCCTCCCTCTCGGTCTGGCCGCGGGCCCCCCGTAGGGCTGACAGCGCGGCGCTCCGGGGCTGGCAACGGAGCGCACTCACGAAGTGTCCCATTCGCCTCCCAGCTCCTCCCTTCCCCCATCCTCGCCTTCCGCACGCTCCTCCTATCTCGGATCTCCTGATGTTAGGGCGGGCCTGCCCCCCTTCAGGGAGATTTGAACGAACCATACAGAATAGCCGAACAATGCTCAAAAAATGCTCAACAACAGTCAAAAAATCGTCCCCAGACTATTTTTGAATGTTTTTCACATCCTTCCTGTAGAGACAGGCCCGACTTAATCCCAATGGCATGAGGTCCCAACGGGTGCTGCCAGTGGCCCCCGCCTGCGCGCGCCGAGGGGCGCAGCAGGGCGGGGGGACCCTTCCGAGAACGGGCCGCCCTCCGGCGAGCGAGGGGGCCGGCGAGGGAGGGATGGGGGGGAGACGGACGGCCTCTGGGTCCTCGCCCTCGACTTCGACCGCCCCCGCCGTCGCCCTCGCCGCCGCAGGTTCCTGGCTCCTGGTTCGTTGCCCTCCTCCTCCTCCGGGTGGTCCAGGGCCTCCCCCGCAACGAGGTCCTGGCCCTCTCCCCCTCCTCCAGCTGGTCCAGGGCCTCCCCCGCAACGAGGTCCTGGCCCTCCCCCCCTCCTTCAGGTTGTCCAGGGCCTCCTCCGCGACGGCGTCCTGTACCCCCCAGCCTTTTCACCTACCCCTCGCAGTCGTGGCCATGCTCGAAGCTGGCGGAAACGGTCGGGATGAGGGGCGGCAGGGTGAGGAAGCCATGGTGGTAGTAGTGGTCGTAGTCGTGGTGGTCGAAGTGAAGCTGGTCGTCGGATGGGGCTGGGCTGGGTTGACCTGTAATTGCCACGATGCACTAAATATTAGTGCTGGTGGTGGCGTCGGCGTGGGCGCTGGAGTGGGTGCTGGAGCGCGTGCTCTCGCAGGGCCCTGCGCCGGTGTGGACTGCTGTCGCAGTCAGGAAGCCACGGAGGCCAGTCGGATGGGCGGGCCAGACGTGTCGCTTGAGACTTCTTCACCACTCATGACCCTGAAGCTGAAACACGGACAACCGCTTCACGGATGGAGGGCGCGCCGTTTTTTTAATGGGGCTCTCGCCTCAGCGCCGCGCTCTCGCAAGCCTGCAGCAGCTTCACGCAGTGAGGGCGATCCGTTTGGAAATGGGGTTTTCGTCTTAGCGACACGCGCACTCGTCGTAGAAACGTGTAGGGGTTTCACAAATGGAGGGCGGTTCTTTTCGAAATGTGGTTCTCTCCTTAGCGACGCGCACATCCGTTTTTAAGAATCGCAACGGTCTCCAGGTTTATCATAGCCCACGTCCCAGAAATGGTATTGCGGAGAAGTGTAGGAATTTCAGAGCGCAGCAAGTAGGTTGATTCGCGGTGTGAAGTCCCATGGAGGGTGATCTGACACGAATCAGGCTCGTCGAGGCGCAACAGTAAGATTGATTCGTGGCATAGAAGCAACGACGTCCTATAATGGTGCCCGCCGCTGTCTTCCAACGGGGCACCTCCCTGAGTGGCCACCAGGCTGTAGGCCCGTGATTCGCAGTTTCCTGTACCAGTCGTAGGTTGTAGTTTCCAGTGTTACAGTTCTGCTTCTTGCTGGTTACTGTAACAAGTTGACTTATTGCTGGTTACTGTAACTAGTTGATTGACCGCGCGAGGGGGGGGGAGGCCCAAAGTGGCTTTTTAGCGTCCCCTGGGCGCGTTGTCTGAATTGCTGGGGGGGCTCGAAATCGACACCCCTCACGCAGATCCGCGGGGTCAGGGTCCAAAAACACAGGGGATTTGCCACATTTCTGAAATTCGGTGCCACCCCTCACGCAGATCCGCGGGGTCAGGGTCCAAAAACAATGGGATTTGCCACATTTCTGAAATTCGGTGCCACCCCTCACGCAGATCCGCGGGGTCAGGGTCCAAAACACAGGGATTTGCCACATTTCTGAAATTCGGTGCCACCCCTCACGCAGATCCGCGGGGTCAGGGTCCAAAAACACAGGGGATTTGCCACATTTCTGAAATTCGGTGCCACCCCTCACGCAGATCCGCGGGGTCAGGGTCCAAAAACACATGGGATTTGCCACATTTCTGAAATTCGGTGCCACCCCTCACGCAGATCCGCGGGGTCAGGGTCCAAAAACACATGGGATTTGCCACATTTCTGAAATTCGGTGCCACCCCTCACGCAGATCCGCGGGGTCAGGGTCCAAAAACACATGGGATTTGCCACATTTCTGAAATTCGGTGCCACCCCTCACGCAGATCCGCGGGGTCAGGGTCCAAAAACATAAGGGATTTGCCACATTTCTGAAATTCGGTGCCACCCCTCACGCAGATCCGCGGGGTCAGGGTCCAAAAACACA